TATACGTACCAACTGAATTACAATTAGTGAATGCGTCCTCTTCTCTATTTGCTGTGCCCTGTTCAGGGTCTACAATGATCAAAACAATGTACCTACTAAGACCTAAGAAAACATTGTAGAACGCAATAAATTATTGATTGATTGAGTGCAGGTGGCTCGATTGAGCAATCGTGTTGAAAAGTGCTTATTAGACAGATTTAGCTTATGTAAAAGCTTCGGACAGTTTTGGGAGTCGCTTGAGCTTCAATCGTGGAAGCATCTTGACGTATAGTTTGTAAGACCGGATCATCGGGATCAATCAATATAAGTAATTTTGTAAAACATTTAAATAAATAAAGTTATAATTAAAAGTTAAGTTTTTAAAAAACCTACCTGACGGCTCAATTCTGTAATTGGCGCAGTCGGTAGGATAGCCGACTCAGTGCGAGCATCATACTTCGATCAGCATGATAGTCGTGTGTCGTCGGCGTGTCGACTATCTCTACGAATCTACACGAAGCAGTCGTCAGACGGTAAAGAAGAATCAACTTCGAAAAACGGCGCTAATCAAAAAATCGATGGCCCACCACCACGCTAAGCAAGCTAAGCATTGAAAATGTGAAAGAAAGGAAACTATTCTTAGAGTTTAGTCGGGAAATAGTAAAAAATGTAATAGAAAGAAATAAGGACTAGTAAATAAAGCTAATACAGCACCTCAATTGTAAAATAAGTATTTATAATGAAAATGTAAAAATAAGAAATATAACAAGAAGCAAATATGTAAAAATTCATAGGAAATAAATAAACAAGAAAAATGATTGTAAAATAGATATAAGAAATTAAAAACTCAGAGAAACGAAAATGTAAATATTCATAATAAGAAAAAATATGTAATAGAATTATAAGATAGGAGATAAAAAAAGAAAAACAAAAAAAAGAAGCACAAAAAAAGAAAAGAAAACAGAATATAAAGACCTGTAATAAAACGGGGATTAATTAGAAAAAAAAAAGCTAAGCATCCTGCTCCTGTGAGTTATCTATACTTATAATAAATCTGTAGAGATGTCAATTCTGTACATGAAATATATTTTTAAAATAACTATCAGGGGGTGATTATTGATCGATACTGATGCCAAAAATGCAAACAGTAAATTTTTTGTCTGTCTGTCTGTCTGTCTGTGTGTATGTTCCTTATAGAAACAAAAACTACTCGACGGATTTTAACGAAACTTGGTACAATTATTCTTCATACTCCTGGGCAGGTTATAGTATACTTTTCATCACGCTACAATCAATAGGAGCAGAGTAATGAAGGGAAATGTTGGGAAAACGGGAGAAGTTACTCCATTTTTTAAGCTTCCGTCGCGTGTGCAGCCTTAATGATTAAAGTTACATAGAAATCATGTATGACGGAAATATTCTACATAAAATTGTCTAAAAAATATCCCGCAACAGCATATGTCTATCTTTTATGGTTGACTGAGAGTAACACGTGTAACTCCCGATAGCTTAGCAGTTCGGAGCATTCTGATCATATTTGTTTACTCTTACGTTTATAATACTCTGACTCATCCCTAATTTAAAAAAGTTAACATTATTACCTATTCAATAAAAATAAAACATAGAAATCGGTATAGAAACACCAAACTTATACATGAAATAAGCCATCGCGCCGTCGCACGTGAATACTGAATCATGCTATAAGGATTATTTTTGTGTAACGGTTGCCGCGTTCGACACGGGTCGCGGCGGCGCGGCGGTAGGGTATCTAAAGGCGGGAGGTCCGAGAGCGAGCTGTCTAAATCTGTTTTCTGCGTCGCTCCCCCCCAGCCTAATAAGTTATGTTTGTTTTAATAGTTAGAAAGATTTCTAGATATTCCTATTGGTTGACAGCGGCCCCTTTCCTGTCTCCCGTAGGACGTAATAAGTAAATTAATTAAGTTTTCTTTTAATAGTTTAGAAAGTATTCAAGATTTTTTTTTCAAAGAAAAATAGGGATATAGGGCCGAATCTGCGGCGCAGTATTCGTCCTAATTCTAGAGAATTAAGGTTTCATCGCGAAATCGAGTTATCTACATTCGAACAACAATCTGTAGCTTATTCAAACGATATGACAGAAAGGATTTGGAAATCTTTAAGGCCGTATACAGAAAGAAAGCCGAAAGCCGATCGGCGCCTATTGACGCTGATCCTTTTTCTATGGACCGGCGCCGATCGGCGCTGGTCCGAATAATAAATAATTTGTATTTGAATTATTATCCTTAGATTAAATCAATCTAAGTTATAATCTTTTTATAAATCTAATAACTTTATCTTTTATTAACTAAGCGCTAAAATTATTTGTTTCGTACTTACCGAATGGTGACAACAAGTCTTTCTTCTGGAAGGATTGGTTGTTTATGCCAATTGCACCAATTTTTCATCAAACGGTTTTTCACTAAATCCAAAATGTAATAAAATGTTTCTTGAATCATTCTTGTATATATGTATAAAATCTTTGTTCATCAAATTTCATTTTTTTTTACAAATAAATGATGGTATTCTCCGAAACGTTTTTTTTCTCTATTTATAGGATGTATAGCTGTTTTTCGCATTTTTAAATAAACATTTTGTAACAAAACCAAATCATCGTCCGATGAGTCCGACATTTTGCTTGATCTGCTTCCTTTATGTAGAAAGGATCGGCGCTTATCGGCGCCTATTGGCGCTGATCCTTTTTCTATGGACCGGAGCCGATCGGCGCTGATCGGCGCCTATCGCCGATAAACGCCGACACGCGCTGGTCCGAATAATAAATAATTTGTATTTGAATTATTATCCTTAGATTAAATCATTCTAAGTTATAATCTTTTTATAAATCTAATAACTTTATCTTTTATTAACTAAGCGCTAAAATTATTTGTTTCGTACTTACCGAATGGTGACAAAACCAAATCATCGTCCGATGAGTCCGACATTTTGCTTGATCTGCTTTAATCGGCTTCCTTTATGTAGGAAGGATCGGCGCCGATCGGCTTTCGGCTTTCTTTCTGTATACGGCCTAAGGGTACGGCCAGAGTGCACTCAGATTCAGATTCAGATTCCGAAAACAAGCGCGAGAAATAAACAGTGTAGTCGAAGGGTACGGCCAGAGTGCACTCCTGATTCAGATTCAGACTCAGAAAACAAAGCGCGAGAAAAAGCAGGCAACCTGCTTAGACTACACTGTTTATTTCTCGCGCTTGTTTTCGAAATCTGAATCTGAATCTGAGTGCACTCTGGCCGCACCCTAAGGCTAGTTCCTGAGTTTGATGGAAATTCGAATATTTTAATTAGATTTTTGAACATTTGCGACCAACTGATTTTAACATATGTCAATCCAGCTCCGGGAAAGGATCTAAATAATTACGCTTTAATTAATGGAATTCTAAATAAAATAACCGGGCCTGCTGCTAAAATATTAGCAACAAATGGCATCCCCCAGGACTGGAATGGCATAAGAAATGCGCTAATCAACAGCTTTTCAGATCACAGAGACGAGTCCGCCCTATACACCGATTTATCTATGTTAACTCAAGGTTCCGATACACCGCAAATATTTTACGAGCGAGTTCAAAATTTACTTAGTATAATTAATTATGACTGATGTAGAATTACACTAACAAAGTAAAACAACAGTTGAGGCTAAACGTGAACTTTAAAAAAAAATAGCTCTTCAAACATATACCAGAGTCTTAACCGAGCCTTTAGGCTCACGTGTCAGGTGCATGCGCCCCAACTCGCTAGAAAAGACCTTGGAATTCGCCCAGGAAGAATTAAATGTCTTATACTTACAATCTAAAGCCAGTAACCCGCTAATTTCTAAGAAATCAATTAACAATGCCCCGTTTAATTACTCACTTTTTAATTCGCATGACTCACTTATGCCTTCGAGACAATTCAATTCTGGAATGCCTACACGTCAATTTAAACCTTTTAAATACCCTTTCATGCCACATGCCACTTTCCCTAATAATTTTGTGCCGAAAAATATTTCTTCTAATAACAGCTTTAGGCCTACCCCCGCACACAATAATTTTACATATCAGCAAGGACCTTCAAGCACTCAGCAGATGATGATAGCCTTGCCGCGTTCTAACATGTCTACTGGTTTCCGAATTCCCCCTCGAGGAAATTGCCCATAGAACTACCAAAACTTTCCTAAGCCTATGAGCGGCATTAGCCATCCAGTTGCTCGAGTATGGGTAATACCACCCACAGATTCAAGAACGCTCTTAAAATATTGCAAAATATATAAAGGAATGACCATCCAGCAAACTCAAATTGTAAATAATATCTCTTCAAATTAAAAAAGTTAGAAAAAGCAATAATTTCAATAAGTAATACATCTGTCACTGAAAAAGAACAGATGTATCAATTTACACAGATTTCCCTATTATTTAGCACTTTTCAACACGATTGCTCAATCGCTCGATTGTACTTATTAGACAGATTTAGTTTATGTAAAACCTTCGGACAGTTTTGGGAGTCGCTTGAGCTTCAATCGTGGAAGCATCTTGACGTAAAGTTTGTAAGACCGAATCATCGGGATCAATCAATATAAGTAATTTTGTAAAACATTTAAGTAAATAAAGTTATAATTAAAAGTTATTTTTTAAAAAACCTACCTGACGGCTCAATTCCGTAATTAGTGAGTACCTTATTGTCAAATATAAAAAACCATTTAAAAGAATAAAAATTGAATACAATAGGTTTTATGATTAGCCAGTTACAATACTTACGCACTTCAAAATATACCGTTTCCAAATGTGCATATTTTTCTCTTTTAAACTTAAAATACCTAATACTTACCTAGCATTCCTTCCAAACTACAACATAAGCCACCACGACAACCTATGGACTTACGTAACCGGTGTATCATTAACGCGTTGCTTACCATGGGGTCAACTGCATCTTAGTTCCGTTCCACTCTAATCAAGCGAAAAATTAGCTATGCTCTACTTTTCATAATATCAGTCTCCTGTTTAAATACTTGCACTTACCCAATGCCAATGACGACTGAGCAATTTTGTATGTTCGCGTGTTCTTTTGTGTTTTCCAGTAATGTCGCTCCACATATAGCGGTCTGTAGGTAGTCCAGTTGATGTATAACCAGTGAGTGGGTTCCATCTCTGGTTTTCATAAACACAATATGTTTGCGTGTCTGTCATAGAATTGATACCTTCCTTTGTGCTTAATGCTGTAAAAGATTGTTTTTTTTAATTAGGTAGGTTATGTCTAATGTCATTTCATAATTATCGCTTCATGGACTTATAAAAAAGGCGGACAGAGTCCCGGTAAACAATAAACTGTGTCGCTCAGAGTCGGCCAGGTCGCTGTACGTACAAGCCGGCACGCACACATTCACACAATAGTCAGCCACTACGCGTGCAAACGTCAAAGCAGTCGACACGTTACGTGGAGATAAAAAATAAGCTAAACAAGATATCTTGCTTGTAAAAAGGTGTAAAAACCGTAGTGACCGAAAGAAAAAAAATCCAGGAATCACGTTTCATAGGTAAATGAATAATTGAATCACTTTTTTCTAGTTTTTAGAAATCGAAATCAATTTTAATTCTAAGGACAAAATGATTAGTCTAAAGCCCAGTGTTGCCAATGTTCATGTAACCATATTACCTAAAATATGGGAAATTGGGTTGACATTAACTTCAATCTATTATTTATTATTCTTTTTTATCAGATTTCCTAAAGAAAATGTAGTATGGATAAATTACTGGAAAATGAATGATTTCCAAACAAATATGTAGTAGTGTCATTTTTAGTCTTCATTTTGAAGCTCAAGACTTATATACAACTAAAGGAGGACTCCGGCATGTTATTACGTATGCATTACCTCAAAAGGTTGATTAAAATTTTTAACCGACTTCGAAAAGAAAGAGGTTCGCAATGCGTCATATTTGTTTTTTTTATTGTTGTTCGCGCAGATCTCCGAGATTCGTGGGCCGTTTATGATGATTCTTTTTTTGTTTTAATCGGTTTACTAGCGAGATTGCTGCATATTAATTTACTGGAGATCTGATGAGTACTTTCGGAGGAAAACAATGGAACTCCTCAATTACAAACAGTACTCAAAGGCTGTTAGTTTATTTTAAGAAATATGAAAGAGAATGCAGGCCAGTATATTTAGTTGATTTACCCAATATTGAGAAAATTCGGTACATTCTAGAATTTCTAATGAGTCCGGACTGTTAAAGTAACTTTGTTCCTTATTAAACAGAATTCTAGACTACTGGACTTGTTTTTTCTTTTTAGTACATTTTTTTTTATTTTTGACATTTTAATTTCATTATTTTTTAATTACACGAGTTGTATATTTTCTAAATATTCTTTTAAAACCCTTCACTTTGATACCTCGCTTGACGGGTTATAAAAATACTTATACTTTTTTTTGAAAATGTTTCATTTTGGCGCATAAAATCTGTTATTTTGATTTTTTGAAATTTTAATATACCGAGTGCCACTCACACAATCACGACAAATCAAATGACACCTCGCATGTCAAAATCCGTCAAGACGTTCAGGCTGTAGGCCGTGCCAAATTATTGGACATACATACATACATACGCTCGAAAAACATTATCCTCCTCAGTCAGGCAAAAAGTAAAATTTTGAACAATCAAAATATTTTCATGTTTATACCGTGTTTTATTGGTAAAAAATTGGCTAACCTAGCAACCCTACAATTCACTCACTCATCAATAGCCGCCGCCATTACGGTGCCTCAGTATTGTCTTAGCCGAAACTCTGTCCGCCTTTTTTTCGTATGTATCGCTTATAATCTATTTTAGAGTTTTAATATCCTTTTTCCTCACTGATGCTCTTAGAGTAGGTAGACTTCTCACAATGAGTTTACATGGAAGGTAAGTTAGAAATTTGAAAATCCAAAATATCTAAGGTGTCCGGCACATGTGTCCGTCGCCCTCACCGCTCGCGGTGTGAGTAGTCTCTTTAAAGGACCATTCACATGGTACCGAGCGCGTGACTTCTACAACACATCTTCTGTTCGCTGCCCTCACCGCTCACATGGTACTGGCCCACAGACTCTTCCAATGTGGGACAGCTTCTGCTGGTTACGTTACGCCTGCCTTCTGTTCGCACCTTTGTTGGCCGCCCTCACCATTCGCGGCATTTTTCCTCTACCATTAATTTTTTTATATACATTTTTTTGTATGTTTTTTTTAATCCTCGCATCAGTGATGAAAATTATGTTCAACTCAGATGTAAGTGACCAATTACACCCTTGAACTATAAACTAAATATCGCATGTATAATTCATTACTAACATTCCATGTTCAACTATTTAACATGCATTATATCTGTATATGCAATACAATAATCTAGATGGATGTTTATGTGAGATTTGTAATATATCAATAAGCTAAGATTGATTAATAATTAAATAGTACACATACCTTTTAGGCCACCACCTCCCCATCCTCCTGTGTAAACCCAGGCTCTATGATCATGACTGATTCCCCAGACAATTCCATTTTGACAACACTCAACTTTGCGTAAGTATCCTCCCATAACACGCCAAACCATTTCTTCTGGATCTATAATTATGCTATTTGTGCTGTATTCCATAGAGAAAAGTTTTAGAGGGCCTTTGACCGACACTGTTGTTATAGTTTCAGGATTCAGTCTATGTTCAAAAAAGCAATAGCTTTTTTCATTGACTGTTACTTTAAAGCCCTGTTCTTGGCAAATGATTTTAATACTAAATTCTTGGCCTGGTGTAAGAGGCAGCTCATGCCGTTCTTCACATCCCCAATTGCCAAATATCTTTGTATTGCATACAACAATAGATTCATCAAATCTAACATTAAAATGTAAGGGAATGTCTGTAACTTCCACCTCTATTTTGTGCCTTTGTTTTTTAATTTCGGGCCCTTGCAAGTTTATATGAAATCTTTTTATATTATCATTTAAGCTTCCTACAACTTTTAATGTACTGCCAGGTGGAAAACTACTACTCAAATTGGTTGAGAACCCAGACAAAATATCTTTTCCAAATACTTGAAATTCTTTGGTGTATAAACCATTATTATCAGCATTTAATTTTGCTGCCTTTGGGTCCCAATTAATTATATCTCCAGAGTTAGTGATTGCCCATAATGAATTAGGTGAAGGTTTTCCAGATAGTGTATTTATTTGTGATGTTATGTCTACTAATACACACAGCCATTCCTCCTGTTCCATTTCAGATATGAACTGGACTTTGATACCATCCTTAAGTTGTCTAGGAACTATCAAAGTTACCCTTGGACACCCTGGTTCTGATGATGTAAAAACACTTGTGACTTCACCTAAATTCAATATAAATTTTATTGTTCCATCTGGTTGAAATACTGAAAGGGTTCCAATATTTTCTAAAGCATGCCAGTAGAGGGATAGTATGCAGTCCTCACCAGTATTGTTAGCATTAATCAATCTTGATTCACAACTGCGCGTCCACCCTTTTTCCTCAATAGCAATACCATAATTTGATAAGTCAATATTATACCCTTGATTTCTATTCTTTAGGCTCTCCAAAATTTGGATTCTCCACTTGGTTGATAAATCAGAATTATGTGCATTTTGATTATCAGTGAACCAATGAGGAATCTGAACTGTGTCCACGCAACAAGCACCAGCATCAACAAATGTCCAAGTGGTATCACATGTACCCCAAGCTGTTTGACTTACTTCCTCATCAAAATACATACCTGAATCTACATCAAAGACACTGCTATCACTATCAGGTTGGGCTTCCATGCCAACTACTGACCCAACACTTCGAACAGGGCTCCAAGCACGAGGATTTTTCAGTGTAGTTTCATAGCTTTTACCAGTCATATCAACATGTTCAACATGAGCATTTCCTTTAGAACGTCTCTCTTTAGCAGATTTTACTGGCAGAGTGTGCTCGATAGGGGCGGAATGGGATTCCTCCCAGGAATTATTTAATTTAATATTGGATTTGAGTTCGGGTCCAGTTTCATTAAGAGTATTCAAACTGTGATGCTTAGGATTAGAAGCTGAAGACATAACACTGGCAGTACTTGATGTACGACTAAGTTGCATATTAGCCTGTACCATTCTCCATCTTTTTCCTGTTAACTCAGAAGGTGTAATTCCACTTCGCCAATAAATTGATTTATCTGTCTCTCCGATAGCAAAAACTTGATCATTTCTACCAACAGAAATATGAATCATATTTCCAGTGATCTCTAACCAACCATTTCCCATTGCAGCAACCTCAGAAGATCCAGCTAAGGTGCCATCAATACCTTTTCTAAACCAAACTCGAGCATCAGAACTAACAGCCCATACAGCATTGTACCCTACAGACACAGATGAAAGTTTTGTTTCATTAGGTGATTTCACTTCAAGCCAACCATCACCTGTAGTACAATCTTTAGTAATACCCTTTCGTACAATTGCCCGACCATGCCAGAGTAAAGCCCACACCAGGCCAGTAGGCCCAACAGATATCTGTTTAATATCACAGTTTGGGGGTATACTTACATTTATCCATTTCAAACCTTCTGGTGAAGTTGTACTCACTCCGGATCTACACATGACTCTACCATGAGCTGTTATTGACCACACTGACAGTGAACCTGGCAGTGCATATGGAATGTCATTACCACCTATACTAACATCAATGAAAGGTTCTTGAGTTGGGTCTTTATGGAGAGGGGCAATGGCACACCAGGAATTCATTGCACTAAATTTTCGATACCTTATCCATTTTCTCCTTCTAACACAAGACTTCCATTGTTTTACTGTACTGAATTGAGCAGGAAAGTCAACTGCATAACTCCAGCCGTCGTGGTCAAGGGGTTGTCCATCCAATGTTAATTCCAATTGCCAATCCCCTTCCCACTGCCATGCCATGGATGGTAAACGTATACGATCAATTGACCTATCTTTCGTACCATCTTGGGAGGAAAAATGATATCTATCTGTAGGAAGCAATCGGCCACTAAATCCTTCTAATGGTAACCACCTCTCATTTTCAAAAGATTCCTCTTTTACGCGTATTGGAATTTCTAAGCCATGGACATGAAGATATATTTGTCGGTCACCTCCAACAGCCCATAGAAAATGAGGTACTGCAGACAATGTTTTAAATTCTAAGCCAAGATACATAAATTCTCTCCAGCATGATCCACTAGTTGATAGTGCGTACACTTTGCCTTCATTATTGATAGAAAATAATAAAGAACTGCTACTAGACATCTCGAAGTTTATGCCACCATGACCGGCAACGACGCTTTAAAACTTGTTGCAATTTATGGTGTTCAAAGCAACATACTTTATCATTAATTTACCAAGTTTTTCTGTTTTGGGAATAAAATGAAAGAAAGCGATCGAACGAATCTCGAATTCAACTCAAATTTTGACAATGACATTACAGTGCCTTTTTTTCATTTGTTGAAGTTCTCCCGTTTTAGGAAAGGCAAAGGGAACAATGCCCATACAGCCTGGTCTTTAATTAAATTAATCTTCTTTTTGTTTTTACTTTTTACATTAGAATGTCGGTGTGACGCATTCTAATGTTTCTTGGAGTGTTTGGCACGAAATGTATCGAGTTGGCTTTTTCGATAAGCTTCTGTGAGGTAGTCAACACTACAATAAAATTCTCACGTCCACTTGACCGGAATAGCGTATATTTTAACGATTCCACTAATTCTTCAGTTACGCAGACAGTTGTTACACAAAACCACACCAATTTTATTTCACAATATCCACTATGAACGAATTTAAGAATAATTAAAATAAGACGCCAAACGCACTCGATGAAATCCCGCCAAAAACCCCCTTTTTTTTTTTTTTTTTTTCATTACATTTTCCCTTCTAGATTAAGGCAAAAGCAAAGCCATGCAGCCATAGTCTTAATTTTTTTATTAATCTTCCTTCATGTAGGTATCCTGTGTAACGCATTCTAATGTTTTTTTGGACTGTTTACTATGAAATATATCGAGTCAGTTTTGAAAAATGCTGGTTTGAGGTGAACACTACAATAAAATTCTGACGTCCACTTCCCTATACTTATATTACTCTTTGACTTCCACTTAACCGGAATAACGTATTCTTTAAAGATTCCACTAATTCTTCAATTGTGCAGATAGTTGTGAAACAAAATCACACCACTTTTATTTCACAATATCTACTATGAACGATCTATAGAATAATTAAACTACTTGACCGTCACTGAAAGCTTTATATTGAGATAGCAGTTCCGTTTCCCGTCGAATTACCATCAGTTTCCGTACTTTTATTCACCTTGTATCCGGTCCAGTGGCGACACCTGGCAGAAGCGCGGCTATTTTTGTTTTCCTAAGTTTTGACAGAGCTATATTAACTCATTGGCGTCACAGAGTACCTTTTACATATAGGTAGGGACACGATATCGAATAGAAAGTATCGATTCTGTACTTATGAGTAGTATCGGAAAAAAAGTATCGTACTCGTAAAAGTATTGAAACAAAAGTATCGATACTTCAAAGTACCGAGTACATTTCATAGGACCTTATAAGCAATGTAGATTTTCTTAAAAACGTGTAATGTTAATATAATCAACTGCAAAACTAAACGTGAATTACTCAAGTACGTAAGTCTCAGGACACACTAGATTGCTTCTGCTTCCAATTATATCAACGCAATCGAATGTTTTAGAAGGTTTGCTATGATTCCACTAGATGGCGTTGCTATCAATATAAGGCGCTTATCCAAATTTTTAAAGGTATCGATACTTTTTTTAGTTTAGTTATTTAGTTGAAGTATCGAAAACCAAGTATCGAGTACAAAAGTATCGGTATCGAAAGGAAAAGTACTCGATACCACAAAGTATCGATACTTTTTTCGTGTCCCTACATATAGGGAATGATTGGCGTTCTGACTCCCGTCGAAGCAACACGTGCTCAATCTGAGCGATCGTTGTGAGATTTTAAAGGTTGTATTATTATTAAGTAACAAAACTGTAAGTAAAACTATTTTATTTAACTGTAACAAATAGGTACCTATTTTACGTATTAAAAGGGAAGGAACCGTAAGTAAAACTATTATTCTTTTTGATAGTTTTTGCAGCCCTTGTGATAAGGGATATTTAAAACAAATATGTTAAATTGTGCAACACCCTTGTTTTAAAAATAATAATAAGTCGTGAGTAAAACTGGACGGAGATTCAAGGTGCGTTTTTGTTTAAAAAATTAAAGTACCTACATTAAAGTAAATTTTGCAATGCTTTACGACCGTCTTGGTCGTTTGTAATTAAAACTATATTATGAGCGTTTTCTCTTGGTACTCAATTATTGGTGTCAATTCTGGTGTGATTCTCTAAACTTAAAACTAAATTTAATATCAGTCTCACCTTTTCATTCTGTATAGAGAAGGACAAGGATGCACTGTTGTCAAATTTAAGTTTAGCTTTAGAGAATTATGCCAGAATCGACATCAATGTTTCCGTATAAGTAAGTGTAAAAGTAAATTGGTAAATGTATTACAAAATACTTAATTAAATTATTTTACAGTTTAGAGTGAAGGACATCGGTCAATATTGACATTTCAGCCGCCAACTGACTGGCATTAATGGCAAAAGCAGCAAGCTCAGAATATAGAACGGTATAACGAAAGCGGCATCGCTGCCTTAAGAAAAGTAGCCCTTTTATTAAAAGATTGTTCGAGGGGTAAGTGAACTATGTACAATCTTAATAAGGTATTTGTAATGTCGATGTGCCGTTTTCTGAACATGGCCAGCTATCAGTATCAAAAGGCTTATGAATAAAAAGTTCTAACATTTTACTGACCAATACTCGTTATAAATAGTCTCATGTGAGTCGTGTGACTAAACTAGGATAAAGAAAGGCTCTGTTCGAAAGACATTCAACGTTTATTTTAAATGATATGCCGATGTAAATTGAAAATTATAATCATAGTCCAGGCTTTATCAACCTGGAAACAAACAACGAGGTAAAGAAGTATGATGACAATTTGTGATATATCACGTTCCCGACAATATCTTTCTTTCAGCAATTGCATATTTCTAAAATAAAAATTAATCATTGTGGGAAGGCACCTGCTTAGTTAATTTTATTAACGAAAGTGATAAGATAACAGAATCGTTTCTTAGGTATTTTACAGCTAGTGAGGGCACAAAGCTAAAAAGAAAAAAACTAAAGCACTGCTTAAGAAGTTGGTGATCTCTGTGATGAAGCACCACCATCTAATCACCACATAATGATTCAGAGCTTTTGAGGTTGTTTTTCTCGTATAAAGTAAGTATAATTATATTTTTTGTCATGGATTTAACTGATTGACATTTCATCAACCTAATGAGCAACTCACACATAGGCAAGTGATAGCTTAGCTCATAATAAGCTTCATCTCATGAAGCCCAAGTTGTGTCAGGACATGCCCTCCCATGGCGTGACATATGAGTACCGGTGGCAAATCACCCTCGCGGGGTGCATATTATATACAATTTGTTTCCACTACGTGGAACCTTATGAAATGCCTCTAATGCCTTGCCTACATATACGAGTACCGGTAACAAATCACCCTCGCGGGGTGCATATTATATACAATTTGTTTCCACTAGGTGGAACCTTATGAAATGCCTCTAATGCCTTGCCTACATATACGAGTACCGGTAGCAAACCACCCTCGCGGGGTACATATTACCAAAACTCGAATGACCGGCCCTCGCGGGGGTATAGTGGGTGGCCGGGGAGTTGACGTTCAGAAGTAAAATTAAGATACTTTATGATGAGGAGTATCCAAATCACCCTCATGTATGTTCTACGATTTTGCGTACTTTTCGAGTTATAATTTTTTTAAAGTTTTTTTCGCAATTTTCACCTAACATCGGTTTTCGATTTTTTTCTCATTCTGTTTGACGTTTCTGGTTCAGTTTTTTTGTAATAACTGACTAACATAGTCTAACCTATCATCTTAAAACTTATGGTTTATCTAGTCATTGCAGAATTCACTTAGAATTTGTTCGAAAGTTCAAAATTACAATTTGAGCTCAGTACACATAAATTTTCAAAGTATCAAAAAAAATGTAAATCGGGGGATTTGGAGTTCAAAGTGCTTTTAGAAACTTTCTGAAACATTAAACTATAAAACAAGGTCAAATAAAGATAGGGTTAATGGGGGTTTATTTTCTGTAATTGACCTTCAAAGTAAATTAAGGCATTTTTCAAGGAAAAAAAAATAATTATTTTCTTTTATTTAAATCTTTGCCTTTCTCTCAGTTATGATGGATTTGAGTAAAACGCAGTTAATTGTTAACAAAATACATTTATTTAAAGCAAATTTTCAAAATTTCGCCCTCCCACAGAAATACACAATCTACATCTGCGCAAAAAAATATGTTTTAGGTGCCTAAAAGCTTCACGGTTATTTTTCACAGTGGTTTCAGCTTCGCGAATTTTTGCTCTCAGTTCTTCTTCACTCGAAGCTTCTCTGGCGTACGCAATTTCTTTAAAGTAGCCCCAGATAAAAAAAAATCAATAGGGTTGAGGTCAGGCGAGCGTGGTGGCCAGGCAATTGTCCCTCGTCGTCCGATCCACCTGTTGGGGTAGGTCTGGTCTAAATGGCGACACATACAAAAGTTTTTTAGAAGACAATCTACCCATATTACTGGAAGATGTAAATCTTGAATTAAGAAGAACGATGGTGTTCCAGAACGACGGGGCGCCATGTCATTACGCGACACAAGTGCGTCGCCATTTTGACCAGACCTACCCCAACAGGTGGATCGGACGACGAGGGCCAATTGCCTGGCCACCGCGCTCGCCTGACCTCAACCCTATTGATTTTTTTATCTGGGGCTACTTTAAAGAAATTGCGTACGCCAGAGAAGCTTCGAGTGAAGAAGAACTGAGAGCAAAAATTCGCGAAGCTGAAACCACTGTGAAAAATAACCGTGAAGCTTTTAGGCACCTAAAACATATTTTTTTGCGCAGATGTAGATTGTGTATTTCTGTGGGAGGGCGAAATTTTGAAAATTTGCTTTAAACAAATGTATTTTGTTAACAATTAACTGCGTTTTACTCAAATCCATCATAACTGAGAGAAAGGCAAAGATTTAAATAAAAGAAAATAATTATTTTTTTTTCCTTGAAAAATGCCTTAATTTACTTTGAAGGTCAATTACAGAAAATAAACCCTATTAACCCTATCTTTATTTGACCTTGTTTTAAAGTTTAATGTTTCAGAAAGTTTCTAAAAGCACTTTGAACTTCAAATCCCCCCATTTACATTTTTTTTGATACTTTGAAAATTTGTGTGTACTGAGCTCAAATCGTAATTTTGAACTTATTCTAAGTGAATTCTGCAATGCCTAGAATAAACCATAAGTTTTAGGGTGATAGGTTAGACTATGTTAGTCAGTTATTACAAAAAAACTGAACCAAAAACGTCCAACAGAATGAGAAAAAAATCGAAAACCGATGTTAGGTGAAAATTGCGAAAAAAACTTTAAAAAAATTATAACTCGAAAAGTACGCAAAATCGTAGAACATACATGGGGGTGATTTGGATACTCCTCATCATAAAGTATCTAAATTTTACTTTTGAACGTCAACTCCCCGGCCACCCTGTATATCTTTATATATATATAATTCTTCTGTGAGTGTGTATGTCACTGAACTTCTCTTAAACGACTGGACCGATTTTGATGAATTTTTTTGTGTGTGTTCAAGGGGATCTGAGAATGGTTTAGATTCACAAAGACGTGTAGACAGGACAACGTCTGTCGGGTCCGCTAGTTATGTATAATTTGCTTCCACCGCATGGAACTTTTTATGAATAAGGACATGCCTTCCATGGCTGGCCTACACATAAGTATCGGTAACAAATCGTTGATGGAAGAATATCCTCATCAATCTTATAATCACCCTTGTGGGGTCATATCACACATAATATATTATTTCCATTACGTGAAGCTCAATATATATTCTACTTAGGCCATGTTCGCTTATGGAGTTCGTACTATTATGTAAGCACCGGTAACATACGACACTCGAGTGGAGCAAATTATGCATAATCTATTGTCTATTCGTTATTCATAATTTATTTTTGTGACCATGTGGTCTGTAAAAGTGCAAACGATTCGAAACATTGAAAATAAGTAATTTGAAGATATAATAAATGTCGCTTGACATAATTCATTACTTCCATCGTGTGGAAATCTATACATCAACGCAACGCAACATAGCCGCTCATGGCTTGCATCATCATCATCAACAGCCTATCATAGTCCACTGCTGGACATAGGCCTCTCCAAATGCACGCCACTCAGATCGATCTTGGGCTGCTCGCATCCAGCTCCTGCCAGCCACTTTGCGCAAATCGTCACTCCATCGTGCCTGAGGACGTCCTACACTACGTTTGCCTAGACGCGGTCTCCACTCCAGAACTCGTCTACCCCAACGGTTATCGGTTCTTCGGCAAATATGGTCAGCCCACTGCCACTTCAACTTGCTAATCCGGTGGGCTATGTCGATAACTCTGGTTCTCTGTCGGATTACCTCATTTCTGATGCGATCTTTCAGAGAAACGCCGAGCATAGCCCTTTCCATAGCGCGCTGAGCGACTTTGAACCTGTGGATCAGCCGTGTCGGTGTCCACGTCTCGGCTCCGTATGTCATCACAGGTAGGACGCACTGATTGAAGACTTTCGTCTTTAGGCACTGTGAGATCGACGATGTCAGGACTTGACGTAGCTTCCCAAACGCTGCCCAACCTAGCTGAACTCTTCTATTCACCTCGTCCTCAAAGTTGTTTCTACCTAACTGCAATGTCTGCCCGAGGTATACATATTTTTGAACAACTTCGAGAACGGCACCGTGTATTGCAATCGGTTCCGGTAGAACATGTTCATTGAACATGACCTTGGTTTTATCCAGGTTCATCCGTAGGCCGATGCGTAAAGAAGAGTCAGCCAGGTCATTCAGCATCTGTTGTAGGTCCTGCAGGGTTTCTGCCATGATGACGATGTCGTCTGCAAATCGCAAGTGAGAGATGCGTTCGCCATTTATGTTGATGCCATGTCCTTTCCAGTTCAGCGTCTTGAACATATCCTCCATTGCATTAGTGAACAATTTCGGAGAAATAACGTCCCCTTGTCTCATTCCACGATGCAACGGTATGGAACTTGTTTGCTGATTCTGTACGTGGACAGACATGTCCACGTACAGAATCAGCAACAACCAATACTCTCTCGATCGAGAGAGTATTGGAGCATCGGAGGTCGTGTCGTACGTGCTTACTGATCTCTTGGTTTAGAGTCCGCTTTGCCGATGAAGTGACGGGTGGGTTTTCACGTCGTTCCTTCATTAGCCCTAAAGTCTCTTCCGAAAGCTTTGATTTCCTGCCCTTACGCTGCGTTGCACATAGTCTCGTACCCTCTTCCCTGAGAATCCGAAACACATTTTCGAGGTTTTGGTTTACGTCTGATGTGGTTTCCACGGCAGAAAATCGGTTCTCCAGATTTGACTGGAACGTTTCAGATCCTGTTATAGATTGGAGCAAAGTAGGTTGGAGCTTGGATTTCATCAAACGGACGCGCTCGGCCTTAAAGTTGATATTCAGAGAGCCCCGGACGAGTCGGTGATCACTACCGGTATTGAACCTGTTGATCACGGAGACGTCTCTGAATATGTACCTCTTGTCCGTCATGATGAAATCGATCTCATTTTTAGTCATAGTGTCGGTACTGGGGCTTTGCCACGTCCACTTCCTTTGGGGCTGTTTCTTGAAAAAAGAGTTCATCAAGAAGAGCCCCTGCTGTTCGAGGAAGTTGACGAGCATTTGCCCACTGTGATTTCTGCTTCCAAATCCATGGGATCCTACTACCGATTCGCTGCAATTCTGTACTCCCACTTTAGCGTTGAAGTCCCCCATAACAACGTTGTAGTGGGTCTTAGTAGTGGAGTAGAGGGCCCTCGATATATCATCGAACATATCCTCCACTTCGTCGTCCGAGTGTGTCGAGGTCGGTGCGTACACTTGCACCACCTTGGGGTTATACCTGTCGGTGAGCTTTATAATAAGGTATACTACCCTGTTCGACACGCTGGACATTTCCACAACGTTATCGGCAAGGGACTTATTTACCAAAAACCCAACGCCACCTTGGGACTGTTGGTCTCCCCCGCGGAAGAACATTAGGTGGCCCGATTCGAGGGATTTTTTTTTTAAATTCGGCTTCCCCACTCAGTGGCAGGACTTTTTCTTTCTTTTTTATTTTTGTCTTTCTTTTTTGAGAGGTTTTCTTTTCTCTCCGTCATGATCTTTTCTGCGAGTTTTTCTTTTCTCGTTTATATTCTTTTAAACTATAAATTTTTACAATTCTTAATTTCTATTACATTTTGTATCATATAATGTTACTTACTAGTTTATCTTTATTTTGACAAAGTCTCTGCTATTTAATTTCGTACAAATTAGTTTTTCTTGCTTATCTATACACGTATTTCTATTTTTACTTCTACTTATGTTATATATTTTTACTTATGATCTATTTTTTTTAGTGTTTTTTTTTTACTATATTTACATGTTTACTAATTCTATCTATACATTTCTTATTTACTTGTTTTGCTACATGTGTCTTATTACTATTTCTCTTAAGTTTACTTATATGTTAGTTCATCCTATCTTGCCTTAGTTTCTAATTCTATCTCTGTTTTTCCATATATAACTGCTTTTACTCCTGAGGTCCCCTCCCGGTCGCCTTCAACTTTCTGAGTTTGAGTGGTTGCCTCCGGAACCTGATTTGCCTCCGCAAGTGGGGTTTCGAAACATCAATTTCTCTGCCTTCATTTGTTTTGGCCTCGTGGTTACCCTTGGCTTCCACTCGCACTCTCTCCATTGTTCCAGAAGGGGGCCTCAGCAGTATTTCCCCTTTTTTTGTTTCGTTCTTTCCTCAGGAAAGTGGAAACAATGCCAGCTGTTTTCTATATCTTTTGTTACCTTTTTCCAAATTGCTTTTTGTATCCTATATAACATTTCTATCTGCTTCTTTATTCTCCCCCATTCTATTTTTGCCCACAACACCCTTAGCAATACGCCACCTTTGCCCTTGCGATTTTGTCCCAGATTAATCTTTGTGGGCAGTCATTGCTATAGGTGTTGTGTTTAATCTCTTTTAGCTCAGCCCTTTTGCAATTAAGGCAACTAGGCTCGGAGGCTTTATTTGGGCATGCGGCGTATAAGTGGTCCCCCCCACAGTGGCGGCAGCTGTCCAGCGCCTCCGTGCAGACCCGTCTGATGTGGCCGTAGCCCAGACAGCGGGAGCACTGGATTAACGGGGACTGATCTTCCACAGCGGAGATTCCCCACTGTAGTTGAAGAGTCCCCGCGTCTGTCAGCTGCCGCCAAATAGTGGGAGCCACTATGACCACCACGTGCGCCACATGCGGATTCCTAGTTGCCTTTTCGTATATTACTTCCATATCCTCTTCCTTACATCTTCCTTCCCCATTTATTTTTCCGAGTTTTCTTTTTATCCCTCTATCACTTCTTCTTTCTTTCTCTCTCCTCTTACATTCCTCACTATCACTAATGAATATTTATTTTTCGCTCTTTCCACCTTCAATATTTTGTTTCTTTCGATCTTCTCTTTCAATTTCTCTGCCTCACTTTCCTTTGTATACCCTATAATTACTTTTTGTCCTTTCGCCTTTCTCACCCTCCTTACTTCGTTCCACTCCCCATTTTCGTCGACCGACTTCCCCACCGCGTCGAACACCTGGTCGCTCGTGAGCGTTTCGTCGGTCGACGCCACTATGATTGAGTGTAGTGTCTTGTTTTGGGGTGGAACGCTTCTCACCTTCTCCGCATACGTTTCTTCCTTTCTTACTTTCTCTATCTTAGTTCCCAACTCAGTCAGCTTCTTTTGCTCTTCTTCCATTCGTTTACCCGCTCTTTCTTTCATCTCTTTTATTACTTTCAATCTTCCCTTTCCTTCTTCTATTCCTTTATTATTTTCTATTATTATTTCTTTCACCTTTTCTTGTTCCTCTTTCATATGCTTGCTTTCTTCAACTTGCGTACTCATCATTTTCTCCATTTTCTCTATCCTGTTTTTACTGATTTTAGATTCTTCTTTTTCCTCTGTTAAAATTTTGTTGAACTTTCTCTGTTACTCTCTCGTCTCTTTTACTTCTTCTTTAATCTCCAGCAGTATTCCCATAATATCTGCTAGGACATTGCCATTCATTCTTATTTCTCCCTTGTTTCCTGTTATACCTTCATACATCTTTATCATGCTATCTCTTTTTTCATTCTCACTCTCACTTTCTTTCTCATCTTTACCTTTTTTGCTATCTTCTCTTTCCGACTCGCTTACTCTACTTACTAACTCTTTATTCATCCTTACCATTTCAATCGTCTCTTCCGTAATCCTTGCTTTTCCTTCTCTAGTTACTGACTTGTTTGTACCTTTTGGTTCCATTTGTTCCTTTATTTTGCTTTGCGCTTCATTCGCTCTTCTTTCATACTCCCTAACGTTCTTGTATTTCTGTGGCGATTTCATTGTGGGCTGAGCTTTAATATTTTCACTATCTATTTCTCCCAGGGGAGAGAAGTTTGCGCGTCTACTTTCGAAATTGTTAGATTTTAATCTTGCAAAAATAGGTTGGCTACTAGTATACATTTTTACTAACTTGTTTTGTGGTGGGTTTGCCTACGTCTAATTATAAAATAATGAAAAAAATAAAATAAATGAAAAAATTAAATTAAAATTGAAACTGAAATAAATAAGATTAAAATTAAATTAAAATGGAATGAATGTGTCAATAGACGTGATCCAAATAATTGAAATAGTCAATAATTTAATTCCTAATCTAAGCCTGCCCTCAAAAGAGGTTCAGGGTATCAATATCACAGTTAAAATATAAAGTAAAATACTCAACTAATAAAGTTATTAATATCTAAAACTAAGCCTGCCCTTAAAAGAGGTGCAGGGTGTCAATATCACAGTCAATATTCTAATAATAAAAGAAAAAATATAAATATATGTCCTAAGTCTGCCCTCAATAGAGGCGCAGGGTGTCCTAATACTAATAAAATCGATATAAAACTAGTAAAATTTTTGTTTTTTATAAGCTTATATCTTTGGACTGGGTGGTCCAAAAATAAAAAACTTTTCGTCAGAAATGGTTCTACTTACGTATCTAACGGGATATATAAAAATAAATTTAAAAAAATGCAAAAATAAAAAGGTGAGTTTTCAAGTTGCGATCTTTTGCAAACTTAACTTTGCAGTCGGTTATTTGTTTTGTTCAACCTTTGGGGGGGTGGCGCTCGGAAAATACGAAAGCTACCCCTACAGTCTTAAAACTATTAGCTAGAGGGTGATCTGGTCTTTCCCGTGATATATAATTTTGAATTTTAAAATTATATTTTATTGTAAGTTTTTGTCTTATAAGGATGTTATATGTTATTTTACAGCTGCCAAAACTGTTTGTTTACTTTATATTTCCTAATTAATGAAAATTTTCAAAAGAATTTTATTATATCGGAATAGCCCGGATCAGATTCCTATCGTATTTCAAAAACCAGATTTCAAAGTAAAGAAAAAACAGGTTGTTATTCAACTTTGAATGATTTTGGTAGTCGTCCCGCCGGTCCTGAAAGTTGAATAACTACAATAATATTTGAAATAAAATTCCGATTTTTTTTAATGTTGTTCATAAATAGATGGCAAATTTAATTTAGATTTTTAATTTATAAGTTACCGATCTGGTTTTTGCTATACATACACTTATTTATAAATTTAATTTGTAAAATTTTCAGGACCTTGTATCTCCTTTCCTATTGGGTCTAGGCTTACGCTGAAAACGCCTGCTTGTCGGCTGCGACGTCCTCTCTTCGTCTGTGGTGGTTGAAGTGGCGCGGCTGCGCTGGATCCAGGACCTCGTGGTTGGGTGGTTGAGGGACTTTCTTACGAAAGTCCCTGGATCTTGGCCGGAAAAATCCGGGACTCTGCAGGCACCTTCTTCTCGTTGATTATGGACCACCCACAGTTCAAAAATAATAGGACGTCGCGATAGGTTTCGAGATACACTGCTCCAAAGTCCGGAATAACCTCAATTTTGAGGTTTTTGGCAATTTTCACTGGTTTTTTCACACTTCACACCCAAGTGTGATATACCGTTCGATTCGTCTATTCGTCGAGACGAATCTATTGATACCAATAACTTGTCAAAAGGCTTTAATTTTTCCGGTACTTTATATTTACGAACGCGGAGCTCAACAAAAACGTGACGCTGGGGTCTAGCGTTTCGGGGCAACCGTCCCGATTTGAGGGTTATGGTGTCTTCCCCCTCTCTTCGGACTTCACTTAACCCTAAAATGTGCCACCTAATCTTTCCAAGTTCCACCTCGAGTTGCGCCAGATGCGAGTCAAGCCGTAGCGTGCGTCCGTTGTACGTCGCCAGGTCAGTCTTTTGTGGTGGCCTCCCGTAGCCCGGAGATTCTTGGCACCCCCCGCCCCACCGTTACCGTGGTCGCCACCGTGACCAGGAATAGCGGGGCTGCCGGGAACTGGGGGCCGTGGCTTGTGTTTCTTGTGCATGAAGGTTTTGCCCATAATCGCCACGCTGGGCAGGCGGGTTGGCGATCGTAGAGCGTAGGTTTATTTACTAATGACGCTGCTGCCCGTCACCAGTGAGATTTTCCTCCCCTACGTCGTTGGATGGTTATACCGCCATCGGTCGGTTTGCCAGAGCCTCGTCTGTTGGTCAACAGGGTGCACCACGTGAAGGTGAGGTTGGTTTGGGTTCTTGCAGGTGTATTTAGAACCCTTTACACCCCAAATATAATATTTATTCAAAATCATACTAATCTATGCATCATCATTATGCATTTCTATGCGTTAGCCCATAACACAAGCCTTTCAATGCCTATTAAGAGGCTAGGCTAATTGGTGTGAAGTGTAGACTCGATCACTACGGTTCTTCTACCGTAATATAGTTATCAAAGACGTGCTGTAATAATTTCAAAAGGAAAAGGAATGTCGAAGCAATTAATGTTTGAAATATAGTGCAGGACAATTGCTAAATTGGGAGCACCACAAATAATTCTTAAATAAAGGAGATTGCTCAGCTTCCATATATGTTTCGCCTAAAGACCAATAATCATGAAAAATTGTTTCCTAGATTCTAAATTATTTATAAATTACTGTAGAAACGAATATTATTGACGGACACCCCTGAGAACTTCTATAAACCATATACACTGAATGATTTTGAGGTTATGTTTGCAAATAGGTACATACGTATTAAAATAATAAAAAATAAATAACTTATATACTAAACTAGGGAAATCAAGCCAAGTACCGAAATTATGTATTAGATTCAGGTATATAGAGCATGTAGATTAACAGATATTTGCCTATTTTTAAAGTTAATGCACAAGAGTAACTTTTAAAACCAGGTATCATCTATGCATTTCCGGTTATTAAGGTACTCTGTGGCAGAAACTGTGTGATGATTGTGAATGAGCCACAGATTAAAGAGAATTTTTAAACTCTCGTTAACCAAAGAAAGCTAAGAGATTTAGGTTATACAGCCATATCTTCAGTAGCTTCATTATTTTTGTTATGTTTATATTATATCCATATTTAACATTTTTAGTGTACCACACCTTATAATGTGTTTATGGAGCTGTTTGGCGAAAAATTTATGGCAATAGAATTTATGATATCGCATATCATCTATAATAATTGTCTTAGCACATTTGCATGTAGTGAAAATGATAATATAGTTGTGGATATTAAATACCACAGTGTAATAAAAAAAGTATTTTATTTTATCGATCTTTACAAAATAGATTTGTTTTGATGTTAAATAAACAACTTCAATCAGTCTTTGGCTGAATGTTACTACACCCATAACCATTAAGAATGATTCGTATTTTTTCCAAACCGGTAAAATTAAAAGTCCTTTTTAATATGAATATATTATACAAAGGTGTCCGTTAAAATCTAATGACTGTAAAATAAAGTATAAATTACACTAAGAATTACCGTATATGTCAATATTTTTTGTACGTTTAGGCCAATTTGAGCAATCTCCTTTGGTGGTATAGCATGCCATTCAAAAGATTGTTTATCTATATCCAATATATATCAAACTCCAATCTCAAGTGCAGTACACTATAAAAATGTAAAGAATTCTAAGTTTTCTGCAAATTAAGGACTATCTGCCAGATAGATAGATGAGAACATATTTTCCCTTGAAAATAACAAAAGCAAACCAAATGCAAAAGCAAACTTGCAATATTGGAAATGTCGTGTATGAGGTGTCTGAGATGGTCAACATGATCATTTTGATATATAAGTGGTGCTATGTACTGAAGAAAGATTGCACGATCTACCAAATTCTTGAAAGGTTTTGAAGATCATTGTATGCAATTATCCACTTTATGTTATTTTTAGTAAAAAATACTGAAAACTGTTCTTAATATTAACCTTACGCTTTCTCACCTTGCCACGACTGTCTGGAATAAATATACTTTAAACCCTACTCATACTACATGCACACCTCAAGTAAGCTGTGTAAATCTTATAAATAACTTAATCTTTATTAAGTATTAACTAATACATATCAATGACTTTGATCTAAGAAATGAAAAAACAAAAGGAAAAAATATAATCAATTATAGATTCCAGGATTGCAAATGAATTTCATAAAATCTGGTCTAAACTTCGTAATAGCATAATTTATCACGGCAACCCTGCAACAATATAAAAACTATACCTGAGAATTTCGTTGTAAAAAGAGTAAACTTCAGAAGTTGGTCGGTTTCAACATTTTTGTCATTGCGTGGGGTTGTATCAACCACTCCCTACTTCTAACAATAATTATGTATTCACTGCAATCGACCTTGCCATCGCTTCCCGCCAATCTAATATGAAAGCTTGGGAAGTATAATTGAAGAACACGGCTCTACCACTTCACTTCAATCTCCACTCCAATCATATAGATATGCTAGCACTACGCTTTTCATCATATTCTACAAAGAGCGACAGCTCTGTCTGTCTGTATGAGATGGCTCGGAAACGCTGGCTTGCGTGGTTGCATTGGTCTAGGAACAAGAATGTTTATCGGAATAATCCCACAGGTTGTGGACTCGACTCTGAGCTAACCCGATTTTTGAGAGACTTATTTTTAACACGTGACTTATCTCAAAATAAGTACTATTATTTTAAATAAGTCAGTAGTTTTTAGATGATATACCAATAAACCAAGGTCATGTTCAACGAGCTCGTTGATCCGGGATTGATTGCTGTTAATGGAGTAGTACCTCTCGAAGTTGTTCAGGAATATGTCCACCTAGGACAAACGCTCCGATTAGGCAGAAACAACTTTGAGAGAGAAGCCAATAGAAGAATTCGGTTGGGCTGGGCAGCATGTCATAAGCTTCGTCAAGTCTTCTCGTCACCCATCCCTCAATGTCTTAAGTCGAAAGTCTTCGACCAGTGCGTCCTCCCAGTTATGACATACGGCGCCGAGACGTGGACACTCACGGCTGGACTGGTCCACCAGTTTAAAGTCGCTCAGAGAGCTATGGAAATTGCTATGCTCGGAGTATCCCTGAAGGACCGCATCAGAAATGATGTAATCCGACAGAGAACCAGACTCGCCGACATAGCCCACCGAATTAGCAAACTGAAGTGGCAGTGGGCTGGTCACATTAGCCGCAAAACTGACGGCCGATGGAGCCGTAAAGTTCTTGAGTGGAGACCGCGACTCGGTAAACGTAGTGTTTGACGCCCTGAGACAAGATGGGATGATGACATTCGTAGGCTGGCTGGAGTGGGCTGGATGAGAGTGGCAGAAAATCGGGAGTAGTGGCGTGCATTAGGAGAGACCTATGTCCAGCAGTGCACGAGCATGGGTCGATGATGATGATGATGATACCAATGGATGAAAAGTCTAATTACCTAAGCTCACCTGTCTTGGCAAACACATACATTGAAGTCGATTGTTTTTAAAGAATCAGTCCGTAACCCACTATTCTGGAGAATCTATATTAGTTAACTTATTTCCTTTTCTTCAATAATGTACTCGTTACATCATAATGATCTGTTTCAAATACCTCGTCATACTAGTTGTTGTTCTGAACATCATACAGTAATTATGCTGCGTATTATTTGGTTCAGCATGTGGTACACATGACTTGTTCCTACTTCAAATTAACCCGAATCATTGTATTTGTACCGACGAAGATTAGTTTTAGCCTTGTTTTGGTTCAAAACAGGTGAAAACAGTTAAAGACAATCCGATTGGTGACATGTACCGAATACTGGTAATCGTAAATGGGACCCTGATTTTTGGTACTTAAGTAAAAAGTACAGTCTTGTAAAATGTAAGACTCAGTATCAGTGGCGGACTAAGCTCGTCTGAGGCCCGGGGCGGCAAAGCTGAATGAGGCCCCCCAAATGAAATTTAAATTCCAATTAAATTATTTCGGCTAAATAAACATACGGTATGTATGTTTATTTAGCCGAATATGGTACATATTGACAATATGTAACAATATGGTACATATTGACTAGAAACGTAGGTAGGTGCATATTGACTAGAAATTACGGATTATAATTTCTAGGCTAAATTTTACGAAGATGTACTTACTTTTTCCAAATACTTAAAAATGCACTAACTCAACTCTAAACTCATTTACTTTTATACCGCAACAAAAATCAAAAACACTACATATTACACTTTTTAATGAGGTTACTTCGAACGGATTTTAAATGAGGCCAATGTTTATTTACGACATAAATATAGTGAATGTTAATAAATTTAGGCGTACAAGAGTGAATTATTTGTACTTCATTCATTCAGGGATTCCTGAGGAAGTACCCGCTACAGAGACGGGAAGTCCCCCAACGTATTGGACGCGTTCAGCGAAATAAAAAGAATATTAGTACCGCGTAAAAAGTCTAGATGGCTGTAGTGTTTTGATCATGATGAAATTATGTAGGTACTAAGCATATTTTTAAAGTCTAGTTTAGGATTTGATCAGGAGAACGCGGAGGCATTTGGGGGCCCCCCAAGGGCGGGCCGCCCCTTCCGCCCCCCTGTTAGTCCGCCACTGCTCAGTATCGAACAACTTTACTTCTTTTTCTCGCATTCGTATGTCTTTTTTGTGATAAACAAAGATACAAATGAATGCTACACAAGGAAGCGTCCGGTCATTAACAAAGCAAATATATATATATAATTAAGTAAGCGAGTTTAAGTAAAGGAATATAGCAATCAGCTAATACATATGTTAAAGCAGCTTCGTAAGCGTGAAGAAATTAAAGGCGGGATTGAAATAATGTTATTTGATCCATTTTTAAGCTTACTCGTTTCTATAAACAGTTTCATATAATCTGATAAATGTTAATATTTAAATTTCGATCACCAGGCGATAACAAACAGGTCTCAATATAAAGCTTTCAGTGACGGTCAAGTAGTTTAATAGCAGCATTTTACCTGAAATAAAATGCATATTAAAATATTTACCTCACTGAAAGCTTTCACTTTAAATTCTGCCTGGTGAAATAATTGAGCCAATGAGTTAATATGGCGCTGTCAAAACTTAGGAAAACAAAAATGGCCGCGCTTCTGCCAGGTGTCGCCACTGGACCGGATACAAGGTGAATAAAAGTACGGAAACTGATGGTAATTCAACGGGAAACGGAAGTGCTATCTCAATATAAAGCTTTCAGGGAGGTAAGTATTTTAATATGCATTTTATTTCAGGTAAAATGCTGCTATTAAAACATCACGCCAACCGCACTCGATGAAATCGCTCCAAAACCCCCAAATGAAAGATGACAGGTTGTTGGTTGGTTCGGTCATAGATTATTCTCATAGATGGAGATGGATCCTATGGTCCAAGATCTCACAAAAGCTTTTCAAGAAAGCTGACTCGATACATTTCGTTCCAAAAATTCCAAGTCAAGAAACATTAGAATGTGTCGCAACTACATTTAAATCATAAAAAAATGCCTTTGCCTTTCCCCACCTTTTCCAACAGGCATAAAAAAGTGATGTCAAAAATATCTGTCTGTTATGTTCAGGGTTGCCAGGCGTACGAGAAATCTCGTACCATTACAAGATTTAGAGGGTCTGTACGAGATTCAAGATTAACAAAAATCTCGTACACTTTTTTACGAAATTTTAACAATGTCGACTTCTTTCGTATACCTATATCAGCCAAAAAGTTAGTTTAGTTAGTAGTAGTAGTTAATATGCAAATTTATTTACTTTCTCTTATCATTAACCATCCAACATAAAACGATCGACTCGGCGCATCACAAAATGCACTACCTCATCACTAAATGAAACTTGACAACTTTGAGTGGGGAATTCCCGTTCATATTATTCTTTTGTTGTTGTCCTTATTACACTAAAGTTTTGATATATTTGTGTGTCTCTCTTACTAAGAGCTATATTGAAGTTAGTAGATTTTTACTTTACCGTCTGCTTTTGTTGTTGAAGTTTCGCAAGTGTCCGTGTTTTGTTATTTAACGTTTTTAATTACGAAATGAGTGACAGCAGTGACAGTGAATCGTCGTCCACTCCACCTAAAAAAGTACCTAAAAAGGGAGGAAGGACTGCAAAAAAAAAAGGTGAGACGTTTTTAACATCATGCCCAAAAATTTCGGGATGAGTGGTTAAAACATCCGATGTTTAGAGACTGGTTAGAGCCAGACCCAAAACATTCAAATGAAGCGAAGTGTGCATTCTGTCCAGCAAGTTCCTTGGTTGCTGAAATAACAAATCTGAAATCTCATGCCGAAAAAACATTTGAAAAACAAACCTGGTTCGTCCCAAAAGATGACTTCATTTGGTTTCAAGATTGGCGCAACTCCAAAAAACAAACAAAAGGATCGTGCAGAAATAAAACTAGCTGGGTTTTTTGCAGAACATAATATTGCTTTTTCTGTTGCTGACCATTTAACGGATCTACTTAAAGACATTTTTCCGAATTCAAAATCAGTTCAAGAAATTGAACTTAAGCGCACAAAAGTTACAGCTGTAGTAAAAAATGCAATTGGCGAGGGTCATAAAGCAGACTTAGCGAAGAAATTGACGACCAACAAGTTTTCTGCGCTTACTGATGAAACTACTGACGTATCAACAATTAAGACAGCTTGTGTGGTTGTTCGCTATTTTGACAATGATGCTCAAAAAATCTGCAGCGTGTTCTGGGAACTGTATAAGATTTTTAAAGAGACGGGCACAGATGACGTTCCTACAGCGAACGCTGAAAATATATACAAAGCGCTGATGGATTCATTTAATATCCGTAACATCCCACTAACAAATATGATTGGTTTTGGATCTGATGGATGCAATGTTATGATGGGCGACAGAGATTCAGTCAAAACTGGTTTATTGCGAGATTTACCAGGGTAACAATTTCAAAATGTGTTTGTCATTCAGCCCACTTATGTGCAAGCCAGGCTTGTAAAGAAATTCCAGAATCTGTAGAACAGCTTGCTCGTGACATATATAACTTCTTCAAAAACAGTGACAAGCGACAGTTTGATTTTCGCAAATTTCAATCATTTGTTGAAGTTGACCCACACAAAATATTAAAACCGTCTCAAACAAGATGGCTTTCGCTGGCTGCAGTTGTCGGAAGAATCCTGGAGCAATGGGAAGCTTTGCGCTTATTTTTTGGAATGGTCATTGCCTTTGTGCAATACAATCTAGAATTCCAAAGTGAAAAAGTTGTTATTCACAAGCTGCACGATAAAATTCGAGATTTATACCAAGAATTTCTTCTGCGTTACTTAAAACGAGAGTACGTCATGCAGCCGAATATAACTCAAGTAGACCCTAAAAATGAGCAATTTATGTTAAATGAAGCTGCAATGTATCTCGGCATTAAAGTTTATGAAATGCTAAAACACCCTAACGTAGTTAGGCAACCCCTGAAGAAAACAATGTTCTTCACGAACTGCAGAAATTTCCTCAGGACTGGTGCGTAGGAAATAAAAAAACGTTACGACATGGAAGATCCCGTTCATTCCAAACTCCAAGCTCTCGGACCAGCATCAGCTCTCTCCAACGATTTCAGAGAACACGTCCCAACATTGATGCCTCTGATGGAAGTCGTGCATATATAATTGCATCGTTTGATGACACTAAAAAACAACAAATAGATGATCAGTGGAGAAGATTACCGATTGCAAAAGCCCGCCATCCTGCAGAGCTTAAAAATACCACAGAGCCTGATGAGTTTTGGGCGATGTTACAAAAAAATATGGGTGCGTGTACTTAAGTACGCGCGTGAGAAGTTATACTTCTTTTTGGAATTATTAAAAAATAGTTTTTAATTGCATGCAGATAATTAATTACAATAAGATAATAAAAGGATTGGAAAAGGATAGTCAACGCAGTCAATAAAGTTCACTTTTAATTTGAAAAATTTAATAAATAATCAAAATATTCAATTTAAATCACTACTGAATTTAAGTTATTAGTCCATATAGTAATTAGCACTTGTAAGTAACTAAAACACGTTGTGTCTATATAGAAACTAGAAACATGACTGTGTATAAATATTATAAATATGAAAACAGTGATCAGAGGCGACGAGCGTGCCAACATTGTTTTTGACAACGCGATCATCTTATGGAGCTCCGTGGATCGTTCAAAGTACCTTTCGAACAGATGTCTAATAATGGTGGATTATTAACCACTAACATTCAATACGCGCCCGCGGCCAACTTCATGGTGTTACTATTGTGTTACAGTGATGCGCGCGCATCTCGAAATTTCACACATGATTTTTTCATAACGCGCCCGCGGCTAACTTCATTATGTTACTTTTGTGTTACAGTGATGCGCGCGCATCTTAAAATTTCACTCTCATAATTTTTTCATAACGCGGCTAAAGAAGTATAAGTCTTGGCTTTGCCTCATGCAAATGCAGACTGTGAGCGGGTATTTAGTAAGACTAACCTAATAAAAACAGATTTAAGAAATCGTCTTATCACAGATACAGTAAATGGTACACTTTTAGCTTCCGAAAGCGCTAAAGGCCCAAATCGCAAAGGTAATTGCGTAAATTTCGAACCATCAAAAGAAATGAACGCCAGAATGACAGCTGAAAAGCTATACTCTAAAAATAAAGATGATTTTACTAACATCCCTCATGTCGAATATAATTAATAAAAAATATGATTTTTAATTGTTTTGTTTGAATTTAACAGCCCCAAGCGCAAAGAATATGACTAAACAAGTTACATAGTACAGTAAATAGCATAAAATCATTAATTTTATTTGAGTTTCTTCAAATTTATGCTTTTACGAGATTATCTGTTGAAATTACGAGATATTTAGCAACCCTGGTACGAGAAAAAAATTGTCATCTGGCAACCCTGGTTGTGTTGTCACTTATGTCAAAAACATGTGTTCTGGTTGGGCAGTGGGCCATCAGCAACAAACAAATTAAATTGTGACTTTGTAACTCACTTGGCTCTAAATCAAAACGAACTATTATGTACTAGTTATTATAATGACGCTGCCTCTATGAATGTAAGGTCATATGCTTTTCCTTAAGATCATATACTATGAAAGACTTACGCAACACGTACCTACGTAAACTATTAATACTCATAGCCATAAAACAATTCTAGAAAGGAAGTGTTGTATCAGTTTCTTAAGAATGGGGGCTCTGAGTAAAATAAGAACTGCTTTTAAAAAATATCCACTTCTCCGTGGTATGGCATCTTATAGTGTAATTTGGCCAATTTCAAGTCTTATACAACAGTCTTTTGAAGGAAAAAATATAGGTATGTTTGTCTGTCAATGTGATTCTGATGAATGAATTGTATCAACATTGATGGAATTTACCCTTCATCTATTTTATTTCATTATAGTTTAAGTAATGTTACAAATAATATTATGAATGAGTAATGAAACAGTTTTTTCATTTATCTATCTAATGCACAGTATAGAAATTTGTGCAAGTTTTTATTTGTGTTGATGTAAGTCACATTACAGTTTTGCATGTGCAATACAACATTATAAGATAGTAACCACAAAATACATTTAAAAAAAATGAGTTTTTTGTTTCAGACACATATGATTGGTGGCGAAGTGCAAGATATGGTTTATATGGATCTTGTTATGTGGCTCCAACACTATACAGCTGGTTGACAGTAGCCAATGTCATGTGGCCAGGGAATACAGTAAAAGTTGGCTTAATAAAAGTAAGATCTCAATGTATATGGAACTAGTTTGGTTTGTACCATTAAATTCTACTCCAACTCTGCTGAAGTAGTGATAGCATTTACTGATAAAGGTGATAGACGTCTTAGCCTAAGTAGTATGGCGGGCTGTTTCTGTTTTAAGATGCTGGTATGTGGGGAGTTGTCATCCCTCCATAGCCCCAACATGCTTAGGCGTGTGGCTGTACGAGCAGCTTCCTGTTGTATAAATAAATGGAGTGGTCTCACGTTAAGTATAGTCTCCGCTGCTAATGTGAGAGAGGTTTTCTTGCAGCTGGTGATTGCACAGCAGGAGCGCCTCTGGAGATATCTTAACTTATTAATTGTCGTTACCTGGATTGTCTTGGTCCACCATACTACTGCTGCTACTGCTAAAGGTGATATAACTTGTTGGAGTTTTATATGATGCCGGTACTTATAGGCGCAGCGCACACCGGTATTCCGACTCACTAATTCCCCCCCACCCCCCCCCAATCATACGTTTTAAAATTTCATGGCAAACATGAAACAATACACAAGTGGCGCAGAGCGCTGTAAAGCGGTTACGAGAGCCGGCGCGTGATTATACCGCTTTGTGGATTTAGGCTGCACTCAAAGTCGCCGTGCGCCACTCCATGGCCCATGGCCGCACTCGGAGTCCGCACTCTTAGTATCTTTGTAGCGATATACTATAGTATCTTCCCAGTCTGTGTTGCACCAGGTCCAAAAGCTAAAATTGTTCTTCACTCTCAGAATGTAATGTATATTATTAGCAGTTTGTTCAGCTTTGTATTTTTCATATGATTACTTCTTTGCAGACCTTTGTCGAAACTTTAACATATACACCATTGGCCATGTGCAGTTTTTATTTAATAATGAGTTTGTTGGAGATGAAACCTTTTCATGAAGCTGTTGCAGAAGTTAAAGCCAAGCTTTTGCCAACATATAAGGTTTGTAAAATCTACAAGTATGTTTTAAGTTGTACCATTATAATTTAAAATCATATCATGTACTATGAAACCTTTAATTTCTAGGTTGGTGCTTCTGTATGGCCTACTATCGCTATGATAAACTTTTGTCTTATTCCTCCAAGAAACAGAGTTCCTTTTATTAGTATATGCAGCCTCATATGGACATGTTTCTTGGCATACATGAAACAAATAGATAAAGAAAGGGTTATTATAGAATCTCCTGTTAAACTTTTAAAAGTTATATGAAATTTATATTTAGGTAAAGTATACCTAGTTAGAATGAAAGTGTATATATATTTAGCTCAATTTTATACATGTCATAAAAAATGGTGTAATGAAGTTATATATTTATATAATAATTTAAAATAGATCCTGACGTTTATAAGAAATTTATAGTCTTAAAAACTAAATTTTATACCACTTAATTGTATAATATTAAGCAATTAGAGTGGACCAATTTCCCAATGCAGAATTGGTGTTTTTGGGGGACTTTAAATGCTCATCACAGTTTGTGGTTAGGTTCCTCGAAAAGTGACCATGCAGGAATCTTTACTCACGCATTCGCTTTCACGCATGACTTGCAGCAACTTGGTTGATCAATATCATGGTCGTTCCCATATATTCTAAGTCAAGCGCCTTCTTGCTGAACCTTCTTGTGGTCAGAGTCTCGTCGCTCGTAGGCTCGTCGGACCACTGCCTGATATGCGCCATAGGCCAAGCCTCCGCTTCCAGCGGTGATCAAACGACGGATCCAACACTATGGATTAGCAGACTGGCATGCTATGTGGGACTACTATACGTCCATCCCTTGTTAGCAGTATTGCTTAAGTGAGAGGTACCTACTGGCCTGCGTCGTTACCTTTGATGTGTCTGACTGTAATAGGAATATAATACTACATTCCACATTCTGATCTCATCAGTATGGGCACACATCACCGCTAATTCAATTGCGCTTGTGCTGATGTTGTTTCGCGTAACCTGGCTTCATATTGTGCGAGGTCGCGCTCTTATGAATACCGAAGCTGATTTACTAAAAGCAGCCTACAATATTGCTGCGAAGAAGGCTTACATCAGAGCGGTCGCTCAACGTTGCATGTGTTGGCCACGAACTACTACTATAACACATCCTACAGGCTCCGGTAGGTTAGTTATTGGTATTTAGCCAAGGCCTACAACTTCTGTCAGCCCTCACTGCTGCCTCTGAGATTTGTAGAAATTAACTGGAAATTTACTGACAAAACTCTTTTTGGCTAACTTTCTTTCTTCATTGTTAGGATGCCTGCTATTAAGACCAGGCAGTGTGAGGATCGTGTGGAATTGCAATCACCGGAAAGCTAGTGGACCTGATGGCGTCCCAGCCGGCAGTAGTGCTCATAAAACGTGCAGCTGAGTTATCTCCTATGCTCATGCGCTTATACCAAATCTATTATTTATTGTGTGAAGTCCTAGAAATCCCGATACCTAGAAGGTCACTTTCGGATTAATGATAGTTAATATGGCTGCTATACTGGTGATCTTCTAGTATTCATGAAATGACTTAAAACTGGGGTGCGAGGCTATCGATAAGCAGTGCGATTTGTGGGCTATCATCCTTGATATCACAAAACGTTCGACAGGGTCTGGTACAAACATTGGGGAGACTTCGGTCCTCATAGTGCATGTTTGCAAAATGGCAAAGGGGAAATGACGGAGCCTGTGCATGTAAGTTTCCCGGTGTGTAACGGTTACAGTCATGTATTTTCACAAAGAAAGGGTCTGGCACAAAAGCCTTTTAAGCTTACGAAGTATGTTCCGTTCCTGGTTAGCTTACTTTCTACGTGAACGTGGAATTAGTTTTTTCTTGTTTTAGTTAGTTATTTATTAGGACCGAAATTCTAGAGCAGGAAAAAAAAAACAACAAACGGTCATAACTTTTGGTCACCTCTAAATCGTCCGTCTTTAGAATAGAAGCTACTGGAGAGTTCACGTAACACCGCTTCTGAATGTCTGGCGGGCTCAAATTTATTCTACACCTTTGCACAGCGACCCCCAAACCGAGAAAACCGATAGATTAATATTTTTTTCGTCATCAGAAACGTGACAAGAACTCTCCAGTAACTTCTATTCAGAAGACTGAGGATTTGGACGCGACCAAAAGTCATGGCCGTTTTTTGCTGCCCTATACGTTTGGCTCTACATAGAGGGCTCAGATATAGTGGTAGTATTTTACTAGGTGCAAGCTTGCCCCCCTTTATGTTATTTGCCGCGCTCGAGTTTACTCGATTTATCCCAAAATCACCGCTTGAGCTCCCCTACCACTACTAGACTGAGCTTATAATTAATTATTCTGCCTGCTGCAATCGTTTGCTAGTATAATAATATTAAACACGTCATTTTTTTTATTTTAATTTTTCGATAATCTCGTGCCCATTTTTTTAATTGGAAATAGTGATGAAATTGTGATAATTTAATAGTAATTTATAATAGTCATAATATGTAACATTTCAAATGTTAATCATGAATTTATGTTATTTATTTTATTTATTCATAACTAATCTAATCTTTATATAGTTAGCACTAATCATAATACAAACACTGTACCTTATTAAAATCATAAGCCTAACTACTTGGATTTTTATTATTTTATATCCAGCATTGTGGTAGTTTATTTAAATAAGCGATAAAGATAAATAGGATAGGTACTTCACCCATAAACCATTTTAACTGATTAGGCCTTACGGTAAATTTAAAATCTGGCGCACCCGTATAGCGTATATGCTTTAGGGTACGGCCACAGTGCACTCAGATTCAGAATCAGATTCAGACTCAGAAAACAAGCGCGAGATAAAAACAGTGTAGTTAAAGCAGGGTGGTCATAGTGGCAGCAGGCAACTGGTTGCCCGCCATTCTGAATTCACCAGCGTCGCACAGTGGGTGAAAAAAAGAGGTCCCCTTTCATAGGATTTTTGAAAAAAAAAAATGTTTATTATCAGTTTAAGGTGTGCGGTTTCATTGGACATATCAGTACATTGAATAATAAAATAGTTTGGGGAATTTCCTTTTAATCTTACACCATAAAGCACGGGCTTTAGAGTTTCAAATGTATGAAAACGGAATTTATTTTGCTCATAACTTGTCTCGGTCTTCTACGGTCAAGCTGAAACTTAGAGGGATTATTACCGGGTCTGGGTACGGCCAGAGTACACTCAGATTCAGACTCAGAAAACAAGCGCGAGAAATAAACAATGTAGTTAAAGCAGGGTGGCCATAGTGGCAGCAGGCAACCTGCTTAAACTACACTGTATATTTCACGCGCTTGTTTTCCGAGTCTGAATCTGAATCTGAGTGCATTCTGGCCGTACCCTCTGTTATGAAGCCAGTGACCTTTTACCTTCACCCCGCACGGCCCCGTTCAAAAGATACGAATTTTTCAAAATGCTTATTAGGGTAATATGGCTTTACGGGGTTATGTGTATCAATAGTTTGTTTATGTTTCTTGCCCAGCATTTAGTTATCAATACAGTGCAGATTATTATCTAATAAAACAAAACAGTAGATAACGACACCATACAACTTAACTTTAAATAAAAGCGTCCTTATTCAAAAGATATGGAATTAATAAAAATAGATAAAAGATATAGTTTTAAGAAAAAGAAAGCAAGAATACAATATTGTAAAGAATTACAATGAAGTCGTTTAAAGCCAACAATTTAATCTTTTGTTTGACAATCGCTTTAAAGCCGCACGCCATTAACGAGAGCATCATTACGTATAAACAATACAAACTCTATTGTGGCGGGTTTTGAGAAATTCAAAGTCATTACCCACAGTCATTACCTGCAATTGTTAGCCTATAATAATCACTGATTATTTGCTTTTATTGTGGGTAGGTGAATAAATAATACGTTGTTATTATTATTATTCAACAATGACTTCGATTATAATACATACGGAGTACACCTGTATTTCATTTCACTTATCATTATTGGTGTTGATTCTAGCATGATTCTCTAAACCTAAACTTAAATTTGACAGCATTCTCTATACAGAATGAAAAGGAGAGACTGATGTTAAATTTAGTTTTAAGTTTAGATAGTCACGCCAGAATTGGCACCATTGATTCGTACCGTAACGTTCTCTTTGCTCAAATTTTAAGTTGCTCAGAATGGAAGGGCTTGTGTCTAATCTCGACGTATATATGAGACAAAAATCGTTTAGTGCCGACATGTTTTTTCAAAAAGTACTCGATTCAGTGAGATTTTCATTATATGAAGAACAAAAGACAACTCTTAAAACGTTTTGTGCTACATTATACTAGTAATCTTAAACGCAAATGGAAGTCAGATAATTACACACAAGGGAATATTATAAAGAAGTTTGCTGACTGGTTGGACCAATAAATAAAATGGCCAGAGTTTGTTTCACTAGACATAACTGAAGAACAATCAAATATTATGACGAGTTTTGAAGATCCTTCAACAAGTATTTCAACAATAACAAGACCTAGTTTATCAACGGAATGCACTGTTCCTCATAGTGTGGCTGTGTCGACATTAACCGCTACATTTAGTCCTCGAAATGAATTTGCCAATTTGAGTCCACTTCAAAAAAGAAGAAGAACTGAAAATCTCATTGCCGAAAATTGCCGATTTTGAGACACTTGCTTATGCCCTGGCCAGGAAAGCGGAAAATGAAAACCAAACGGACTTTGTAGAATTAGTGAAGCATTTAATTAAAAAGCCTGAAGATGCGCCAATGCTGCGAGCCTGCCTGAAATCGACGAAACGAACTTGTCATACCGATAAGGCACTCGGTATTTCAACATCACTGAAATTATCGAAATGGCAGTATATTACATTGAGGCAGACAATGAGAGACATGGGGTGTGATATACTTCCATCGTATGATGCTTTAGAAGGAGTGCTACGTTGAAAAAGAAGACATGGTAATAACTGAGACTGAAGTTAAACTTAAGCTTCAGTCTATTTTAGATATTACGGTCAAGAGACATTTAAAAACTCTGGAAACTGATTTAACTGGCAGTAATTCGACTCTTATCAGTAAATGGGGGTTTGACGGTGCATCTGGGCACAGTAACTACCAACAAAAAATTGACGGCGATGATTCAAGCATCTTCATGTGTTCATTTGTGCCGTTAAAACTGGTGAGAGATGGTACTGATGAAATTATATGGGAAAACCTCAAAGCGTCTTCAACGTTTTACTGTCAAGCCATTTATTTTAAGTTCGCTAAAGGGAACGATTTGA